CTGATTGACTGAGTGACTGACTGACTGACTGACTGTCTGTCTTACTGACTGACTGACTGACTGACTGACTGAGTGAGTGACTGACTGACTGTCTGTCTTAATGACTGACTGAGTGACTGACTGACTGACTGTCTGTCTTACTGACTGACTGTCTGACTTACTGTTTGTCTGACTGACTGACTGACTGACTGACTGACTGATTGACTGTCTGTCTTACTGACTGACTGAATGTCTGACTTACTGTCTGTCTGACTGACTGACTGACTGACTGACTGTCTGTCTTACTGACTGACTGAATGTCTGACTTACTGTCTGTCTGACTGACTGACTGACTGACTGACTGACTGACTGACTGACTAGCAGCGCTGTGGTTGTACTCACCGCGGTGCTGGCTGCAGCCTGCTTGGATTCTTCGGTGAGAAACGCCAACATCCGCTGCACCTTCTGCTTCTCCTCCTCACTGATGTAGTCGGTGTCTGTTGGTGGAAAAAAACGCACATGTTCACACGTGTTCACACCTGTTCACACCCGTTCACACCTGTTCATATTCAAACAGTTGCTGTTTCTGAGCTCCACCTGTTTCCATGTCAGAGGAGAAGAATGAGTGGACGGAGAGCAGCTGCTTTGTGTTCTTGCTGTTCTGTAAACTCAGCCGTAGATCATTTCCTGCTGAGCGCTTCTCATTTAAATCCCCTTTTGGATGGAAACTGCCCTCCAGCCGTATGAAGAGACCCTCAGACAGCAGTGAACTCATGACAAGTGTTTTTGTTGCAGTTTATTCATCTTTAATAAAAACAGAAGTTCGAGGAGGCGAGCTTGACGTGAAACGATTGATCCGTCACATGATCACCAAAGTTCCCACTGATCCAAATTTATCTGGTTAACTTTAGTCCAATTAAAAAAACAACGATTTTTAAGGTGGAGGACGAAATCTGAAACGACGATTGGAGAAGCTCTGCACGCTGTCAGGCCCCAGTCACACGTTTAAACCTGTTTTCTCTTCAAAGGAAACGTTTCCATTGCAAAGATTCAATTAATTCAAACTCCACCAATCAAAGGGGGCTGCGTAACCCGAAGCTGTAAACCGAGCCAGGCCGGTACCACCGCTGGTGTAATGATTAGTGCGTAAGCTGATCGGGCTGCTGCTGGACATACAGACGACATCTGAAGGCTCCGATTCTGGAATCCTGTGACAGCCGAAGCTCCAAACACAATCATTGTCACGTCCTCTGATCAGGCCTTCAGCCACAAACCTGCACACATCATCCCACAAGCAGTCCTCGTTTCACCTTCACAAATCATTTCACTGCACCGACACAAATGTTGAAGCTGTAGGTCTGCGGACCAACGCCAAGAACCTCCGGATCAAACCCAACTTTACTGAGTCACCGGATGTCTGAACATGTGTGAAGGTGTCTGCTCAGCCTCAACACGTTGTCTCTGCTCAAACATCAAGGCTGAAACTCTCAAATCCAGTTTTCAAGCTCAGTAAAACTCTGAAGGTGTGTTCTCTGATTGGTCCAGGACCCTAAAGGTGTGTTCTCTGATTGGTCCAGTACTCTGAAGGTCTGTTCTCTGATTGGTCCAGTACTCTGAAGGTGTGTTCTCTGATTGGTCCAGGACCCTGAAGGTGTGTTCTCTGATTGGTCCAGGACTCTGAAGGTGTGTTCTCTGATTGGCCCAGGACCCTGAAGGTGTCCTTTGGTCCTAAACTGTTACATCTTGGTGCAGATTCAGATGACTGTAGGTAAAACTTGAATGTTCATCTTGATCATGATGGAAGCACTTTAACAGAACAGCTGAACAGAATGTATTAAACACTGTTGGTGTTTCTGAAGAACAGGAACAGAATGTAAAAGAGTCGCTGCCCTTCAGTGCTGACTGGGTCACGTTGTTCGTCAGTACCATTAATAAGCAGCACTGAGGCCTCCAGCAGAACATTGCTCACGATCAAACCAACCTGGAAGCTCACGTCCCTGAAGAGACGCTGAAGGACACGACTGTGAAGGACGCCTGAGCTGTTTGAACCCCAGTCAAAAAGATTCCTGTTCGACTGCATGTAGAAGGATCATAAAACAGTACTTCCGCATTTCACTTGGCCCCAGTTTAATGGGGAAGCTAAAAGCTACGTTAGCCGTTACAGCTGCGATCATCCGTCACAAAGCCGACACGTTTGAAAGACCAACACGACGCAGCAGGTTCCTGCCTGCAGCTCTGCTCACAGAAGCATGTGAACAGTGAAGACAATAAGGTGAGATGTGATATCTCCTCAAACACTTCTAGCATTTTAGCAGCCAACTGGAAATATCTGTAGCTAAAAGCAGCTAAGGGGAGCTAAGAAGAGAAAACTGAAGCCACCAGAAGCTAAGAAGAACTATACAGAACAGGCTGGAGCTAACTGAAGCCAACAGGCACCATCAGGAGCTACCAGGAGCCATCTGTAGCTAAGAGGAGCTAACTGAAGCCATCAGGAGCTAAGACGAGCTAACAGATAAGATAAGATAAGATAAGATAAGATAAGATAAGATAAGATATGCCTTTATTTATCTCACAGTGGAGAAATTCACGTTGTTGATAGCAGCATTAACACAGAGATACACATATACGAGACAAAAAAAATGTACATAGAAATATAAGAAGTAGTGCAAACAAAGAGAATAGTGCAAACAGAATATGAAAATGGGCTTCTGAATGGGGGGTATATAGAAAAGATAT